ATAACACACATACCCATGCACGCACACACATACACACACACACGCACGCACACACGCACGCACACACACAAACACACACACACACACACACACACACGCACGCACACACACACACACACACACACACACGCACACACACATACACGCACACACAACGAAGTTCCCGTTAACAGTACGACGGTGCCTTGGAGTTGCAACCAATCATTCACTCAGTGACGCAATCTGTGGAATTAGGCCTACTTTTAAAAAGTCACCAGACACTACAGTTTAAATGCAGTGAGGAGGCTCTTTGTTATTTTAATCTTTCAAAATGTGAAATTAATACAAAGGTACAAAGGTACATGAGAAAAGAAAATTAGAAAGAATGAAAGAAGCGAGTGTGTGTGCGTGGGGGGAGGGGGTGTTGAGGGGGTGAGGCAGGCGAATGTTCGGGTCACAAAACACAAAAACTATAACTGGAACCCCTCTGCCAGAGCTGCTGACCTTTGTGTTCAGCTGGCCTATGCCCCATTTGACTTTTCTATACCGCTTTAAAAAAAATAAATGTAACACAAAATCAATTAATACAAACCCAGGGAAGCTACCACTAGCCTACAGAAACTAATTCCAGTGAAGCCATTTTTTTTTAAACACGAGTTTTCAACTCTCGCCCCCACCCCCTCTCCATCCCCCTTTTCTACCCGGTCCTCGTGGTTCCAATCCAAACTACTAGGCCGTTGTTAGGCCTATTTAGGCTAGAACTCAGACACAAAACACGAAGTATATTCGAAAAACAAACACAACAGTGTGATTGCGATACTTCCCACGAAAAAACTGACACTAAACCGGCTCAACTGGAGTTCACTGTTTATACTTCACTCGATGAATTTTATAGGCCTTGGAATACCGATTCTTAAGTTCCCTGGCGCAAGTAATTGCGCAAGTTTATTTGCTTTGATTTTGATTTAAGAGAGTAAGCTAGTGGAAGGTCTTAAAGGGTGCGGCAGTTCAAATTAGGCCATCGTTATTATAGTGAGTCTTTACATTGGTTTGTTTAATAAAGATGATACAATCGATAATGATGAGCATAGTATTATTGAAGAAATACTACCCTTGTCGCTCCTTTGGAAAAACCTTGTAGGGAATACTTTTTTTTCTTAACATAAACAATACTGTGTTTTATCTGTCAAGTTTTTGCCCGGCCTAATGGTTTAATTTGCTTCGACGAGGATCACCAATCAATCATTAGCCTACAATCGGAAGTTTTTGATGATAACTAGATCTATTTTTATCAACCATAATTTTCTGAACCACAAAATTCATGTTTACATGTATTATAATTAGACTATGATATTGTTCTGCAATACAGTTTGCATTTATAATAATAATGGTAGGTCTACAATTACCCCCCCCCCC